CAAAATAGATCCATTTTCGGCACTACTGTCGATGTTGAATCTTCTGTTGTATGTGGTACGGAGACAAATCTTACTATCATCAAGAATGCCAGAATAATAGAGATGGGTTCCAACTGTGCCATGAAGAACGATTTTGTCACCACACAAGCCTCAAATATCGTACACACTTCTTATGTGAAATTAAAAGACATCCATTCTATGAGTCCACAACTGGAAATAGGAAAGTTTTTAATGCCCACGAACACTACTTCTTACAACGTTCATCTGGAAGTATTGGATAATATACAACGGAAGTTGAATGAATCAACTCTTAAGCATTTGCCACAACTTATACACTCCACCAGTCTTCACCTTCATGCAGTTAGCTACACCTCATTATGCTGCTGCATTATTATTCTGCTTTGTCTACTGAGTTGGAGAATGCATTCAAAGTTAAGCAAACCAGCTCAATTTACACCTACTCCAGCTGTAAGAACTTACCAATCAGCGACAAATGGCTCCGTGTCTGCTACATTTACTACTTGAACACTGTCAATGCGGCGGAAAATGTTAAAACATACATACACATTTATATTTATGTTGTATTTTAGTTATGACATATTTATAGTTTTATTCTAGTTGTTCAAATTGTTAATTCAGCATTTATTAACGTATCAGTAAATCATTTTATCGTTGATGTGACATATATTTATTAAGGTTCATTGACGATTTGCAATATTTAACAATTTAATTTCTACACTTTTGTATGAATAATAGTTGACCTAGTTTTACTTTATGCAATTCATCAATTATGCTAAGAAATTATTTGTATAAAATAATGAAAATAATAAAAAGAGTTTGTCAGTTGTCACAAATAATGTGACTTGCCTTTCATGATGCAAACAGAACCAATTTGTGTTTAATTTTTAAACATCGCCTTTTCTTCAAGTTTGTATGCTTTCAAGGAGATCTTTAAGGACTATAAGTGTCAGTTCAAATTTATGTGTTTGAACTGAATCCTTCTAGGTCCGAGTTTTATTAGCAGATATTCTACAAGCTGAATCTCACAGGCATTTAAAAGCCTAGTAAAGGATTGCAATTCTCGTCCTCAAATTCAAATATCATTATCAAATCCAATCTTACCTGAGCAGTTTTAAATTGCGTCTTTTCTACTCCTTTGACAAGCAGCTTCTATAATAAATATGGATTCTTGGATGTTGTATTAGTTAGCAGTGTCGGAATGTGATTCAAAATTTTCCAAAATACCAAAAGTCAACGAACAAGTAAAAAAGCAATAACAATATAGAACAAGTTTGAAAATTTTCAAAAAAAAAACGTTGAAAAATACTGCAAAGATCATAAAAATACCGAACATAGGGATTTACCATTATATTGGTTATATTATATTCAGACATAAACTTGTATTTGCAATTCCTGTCATAGGCCAGTACGACATTCAAATACGAAACTTGAAGCAATTGCAGTGAATAATGTGGCTATAATCATCAAAATACCAAATATAGGATGGTACCTTTAGAGTATATCATATTATATTCGGAGCATATAATTATAGTTATTTATAATTTTTTTAATTTATTTAATAATTAATAAAACTTTTATATAAACAGGTAATAAGCACCGCGTTTTATCTCTTCAAGAATATTATAAGAGGTTATACGCGGTATGAAGCAAGATCCACGGAATGAGAAGTAATACAAGCAAGTAATACAGGCGCTGCACATCACTCAAGCGAGAGTTATTTATGTAAATGTCGCTAAACAAATCCCGAAAGGAAGGCCAAGAAGAAAAATCTCCCTCAAAAATATCAATATCAATAGGGGCAATGCCATATTGTGAACGATATCACAGCCAGAAGACATAATTGCGGTACTTTCCTGCGATTCAGGAGCCAAAAGTGTTTGAGCCGATTGTTCTTTAGTTTTATCCGCAATTTTATTCGAATTTCTTGTTAGGCAACGATATTTTATAATTTTTCTATTAAGTGTTGCCATTGTATTAGAGTAATTGTTAAAAGAAGCGTTATATTTATTTTCTGCCAAATGCAGATTTTCTTTTGTTATATTTTCCGTTTTTTTTTAATTGTGCGACGACTTATATACCGATTGCCATATGTTTTCTAGCTTGCTCTTCCTTTCCTCTAGCATACTAATATCTAAATCGTTATCTTTTATTGCACCGATTTGTGCACTAAATTCTATCAGAGCGTCCGAGGCTTTTACGAAAGTTTGTAGAGGAGTGGAGGCCATAATTATCGCAAAAAACACTGAACCAATTTGGGGAAAAATACGAAAATAACAAGGGAACAAGGTATCAAAAACAAATCGGCTCTTTCTTCGTCGAAAGATTTAGACACCTTTCTTTCAGAAAGGAAAAACACGCTTGTGCTTTTGGAAAATTATAGCGACAAATCGATTCCTTCGCCTAATTCAAATTCGGTTAATTCCCTTCAATTGGAAAATCATGTCTTCTTTGTCGAGAGAAATGCCATCGACTTCATTTTTGTTCAAAATTTAAGAGTTTTGTGTCTTACGACAGTAAACACACAAGTTACTGATGTTGACATTTGTGTTCGCATACATGCGAAAAAAAGATAGTGGAACGCAAAATTGCACTCAAATGCTTACGTTTTCGTTCGCTTTGATTTTCGTACAATTTTTCGTTCTGATGAATTTTAGTGGAACGGAAATCAGCTGTTTGTCGTGTAGAAGGCATGCGAACGTGCTCCTTCGATATCGTGGAACAGGCTGTAACAACAAATTTATGCGAAAGAAAGCTAGTCACTCACTTTCGTATCAGAATGCGTTCCACTAATATTTCGCATAGCCTTACGTGACGCAGTGTTGCTATCATGATAGAAGAATATAGGTAGACGCATCGACACAGCTGCTGGGACAATTAACTGTCAAACCAATTTTGGAATTGAAAATGTTGAATGAAAAATTATTTAAATTTGCAAAAAAATGTTGAAAAACGCGGATTTTAATAACCTCCGAATGACGTCGTATAAGAAAACATATAAAAATCTATTTATATTTGAAAAAAACTTTTGACATATGAATGCTCCCAAGCGTTGATGCATCTACCTGAATTCTTCTGCCATGGTTGATATATATACTTTTTAAAAAGTAATCGCGAATTTAAGCAAAAAAAAAAACGCCAGAATGACTGATTTAAACGCGGAAAAGCAATAAAAAATACGATTATATGTAAGATGGTTCTTAACAAAATAAAAAAATGAGTATTTCTGTAGCCCTATACTTTATGGATGATGTGGAGGAGCTTCAAAAAGTACCACGGAGCCATTTAAGAGATGCTTCGAATTTGTTTGAAATAATAAAAAATTTATTTTCCTAGGTTTGTGGCCAATTTTCGTGTGTTGAAGGAAGTTTTTCGGGCTCTTTTAGATATGCTAGAAGATAAATGGGTTCCCGGTTGCAGAACAACCCATATACGCCCCGATTTAAATCTTGGCACATTCTTGCGGTTTTTGGCTGCAGGAAGCAACCAGCAGCATTTATAGAACGAAGCCCTGACTTCAACAGCGAAGTCTACAGTAAGCAGAACCTATGCTGAATGTCTGCAGATTTTTGAGAACCACATTTGCGGCCAATGGATAAAAAAATTGTAAAATTAACAATTTTTTTTGACATACTGTAATTGTATTTATTATTTTTACTCCATTTTCAATCAAGTAATAATTATTTTGAAAAAATTTGGTTAATATTACCATCCTTCTCCACTAATAAACAAACGTTGTTTTTATAAAAACAACTATAAAGGGATTAAGTCTGAAAGCAAAATTGCACTGAAATGCTTGCAGTTTCGTTCGCTTTGATTTCGTACAATTTTTCTTTCTGATGAATTTTAGTGGAACGGAAATCAGCTGTTTGTCGTGTAAATTTTGTGCGAACGTGTTCTTTCGAGATCGTGGAACAAGCTGTACAAAAAATTAAAAATTAATCAAAAAAAAAAAAAAAAAAATTATGATGCTTACTTTTTTTTCAAAATAAATATGTTTTAACATTTCTTGACATCACTGGAAAGAGAAGAGTTGCTAGTGATTGCAAGAAGAGATTTGAAAGAACTATTAGTGAAAGAACTGTCAAAATTGATCTCTCAAATCACTCTCTTTTGCAAAATATGCCTAGCCATGACTTCAAGCTTTTTATGTATTTGCAGCCTTAGGGTAAGAATTACTTTTTCTGCAGGAATTTGCATGCAACAAATTGTTTTCATTTATTCAATATTTTTCGTCATTTTTAAAATCAGTTGAATAACGGGAAAAATGAATAAACTGCGTAAATTTTCCTTCAAAATTATGATCTAAACAGTTCTATCTTTCAATTCCATGGCAAATCTGGCGAATAACTTTAATGCGCGTCTCGCAATTTACGCGTCTCCCTATCATTGATTTTGAAAATATTCTGTTCTTATTTTCATTTTATTTCTACACAAAATTGGCAGGTAAGTTCCACCTTAGCTTTTTTATTGTACCATGGTTTTATTCTCTTTTGCAAGAAAAGTGTGAAAAGTAAACAGACGAATTCTCTACAAGAACTTGCAAGCAATCAGGTGGTTTGTTAAAACAAAACAATTTGTGCGTCATAAACAGAAATTAATCATGCAGAAATTAAAAATGATCCGAAAAAACAAATCAGTTGTTCTTACGATTTCCAAAAAAAAAGTTTTTAAATTGCTTATCAAAATATAGATCTCCGGAAGGCGAAGAAGAAGAGTTGCAAGTGATTGCAAGAAGAAAAAGCAAACTCTCCGTGAATGAACTGTCAATATTGTTCTTTCAAATCGCTCTCTTTCGCAAATCTCTTGTGTTAACAGACGACTTTCAGTAAACATTTGCAACAATTGTTACAAATTTTAGGGTAACCAAACACATATATGTTTGTGATGATGGTCAGCCATATTTTAATATTAACAATTATACGTAGACCCTAAATTCCTTAATTCGGTTTTACATTCTTACTGGTTCTGGAACAGAGCATGTATAGTTTTTATGGTTGGCAACGTTGCAGTTTTTCATTGGTAACATTAGATACGTTCCGAGTCGTACAACCGCAATCGGCGTCTGTATTCGCAACAGACATACCACATTGTTTATTTGTTTGTTAAATATTTGCTTCATATAAAATGGTAATTTTGAGATTTTTTCCTGTTCTTTCCTTATTAAAATTATAATTTCCTTTCAGTCAACGTGTGAAAGAAATCGTTCTCCGCGTTCGGATGAGAGTGGAAATGATTCCATGTCTCCCTCGAAGAAGTTTCGTCAAGAATCTGGTAAATATAACATCTGTTAAAAAATATATTCATATGCGCTTAGAGATATAATTAATAATAAAGATATATAAAATTTAAATGGTCGAAGAACAGTAACAGTGCGCTATATATGGATTTAGTTTAGTTCAACCCATTCCTCATAAATTTTGTTGTAGTCTTGTTAAATGTATTCGAGTGTCAAAATATGTTCGAATAAGCAACAAACCTTTTTTTCTTTGCCAAACTATATGTCACACTTGAATGAACCTGTTCAGAAGCGCGCTAAAAGCGTCAATATGTTTTCAAGACCCAGGGATATTAGTCATGTTACCATTGCTTAATTGAAGTTCCTTCCCTCAGGCATATCCACCATCGGCCACACGAAATGAAGTTTGTCTCAAGTTGATACTTTTTGAGTAGCAGGCATTCGCCTGGATCTTGAAAGTTTCTCCTCTGGAGTGTGTCCAACACCGGCAGTCCGAGACAAAGTTTCTACATTTATTTCTATTTTTTCTGGTTCGAACCAACGTTTTTTGTATATAAAATGTTGTTTGTTTGTTTTGTTTCAGATTTAGTAGTTTTTAATGTAGACAATGGAATTAATTTTAACCTGATTGTGTAGGAGGGTAATACAGGGCTTAAGACTTTCTCTTCTATAATGTGAAGCTAAGTTTTTAAACATTTCTGTTTCAAGTATCCAACTTTCGGCTGGAGCTCAAAATACGTGTTCTACAGTGAACCAAAGTTTTTCAACATTCTATAATTGTTTAAATAGACGGCCTTGTCCGGGTGTGATATTATTGATTTTACAACTTCTGACAATACTTGAGTCTACATTCTAGTAAACATATTTAACATTTACTCACATTATATTTGTAGGGTTGGCCAATCGTATAATTCGTAGAAAATTGGAATATAAACTGTTGTAGCACTTATAAGGTGCATTACTATTTCATATTATTATCAAACAGTTCAACAAAATACGTCTGCTTATTAATTTAGGAAATGTAGGACTGCAACACATAATTATTCCAATATAGATGTCAGTGCAAAAAGCATTAACTGTTTGTACTTATTGTATTGAGGATCCCATTTTTGGTCTAATTGTACTGGGGATTATCCCATACAACATGGATCAGTAGGCCTGCACTGTTTCTTTTAATGCAAGCCACACACATTTTAACCCTTTGTGCAACATGGAGAGATTGTATTCAAGATGTTGTTGTTGTTGTACCTATCGGTTGTAAAGTTTGTGGACATGTTGCAAACATTATTCATTTATTGTTTATTTTTATAGAAACAACACCAAACCCAAATTGGACGTTTGTGACTAAAGCACACAACTTGACTACTCTTCAAGTTATACCAACGGTTTTAACGTGTGGTTTGGGTAACAATTGTTGTTGTTGTAGCAGCTCATACTGCTGTCTTCGTTTTGACTCCTCTCAATCGGGTTTTGCTTCAAAGTCCAGTCTCAAAAAGGACACAACCCCTACGGGTTGGGTCCACAACGATACTGGATTTAGTTAAGTAGGTATGGCTGGGCAGCGAAATAGGTGCAGCGTGTCTTGTGGACCTGTGCCACAAGCTGGCAGGCTGGCAATGCGAATTGAGGCGGCTACACCATCCGGATCTGAGTCAAAACTACCCGGCTTTCTCGGGGCAGCTCTCGCTCTTCAGCTGCGATGAGAGGGGGATGGTCCTATAGTACAGTATTCGCTCTATATCCTTCCATGACTTCTGAGACCGCGTTAAAGTGGATACTATTCAGTTCTGCTTGATAGGCCTGGTGATCTAGAGGCTCTTTCTTATACGTGTCTAGGCGGAGGTTGAATACCCTCCAGATGGTGATTCGGCTTTGACTGTAACACCCAAGCTGTTATTTCATTGACAGCATTATACTGTCGCACCAGTAACACCTTCGCCTCCTCATGTAAGTGATAGGCAGGAGTCATGAGAAGGCACCATGTTGCGGTTTTAACGGTGGCATTCTGGTAGGCCTGAATATTTTTTTCACTGTGTAGCACATAATTTACCATAGACCGGCCTATCGCGTTGTAAGAGGGCAACAAGGTTCCTTATCAGCTCCCCAAGTGCTGACGGCCAGAGATTTGAGAACCTTGTTCCTACTTCTAATATTGTCGCAGATAGCTGTATCGATGATCAGCTACTGGTAAACACTCTCTTATGCTGGGGAGGAGTAAAGCCTTAAGCGTCTTTGCTACTGATGACAAAAGTGATATCGACCTGTATGAATCACTTTTGCTGGCATCCTTGCCTGGCCTCAGAGCGGGACCGCCCTTCTCATTTTTCAGGCATCGGGAACTATAAGGGTGGCTAACGACAGGTTGAGGAGTTTGGTGAGATACTCAACTCCTGGTTCATCTAGTTGCTTTAACATCACCAATAGAGATTCCGTCAGGACCAAACGCTTTGGGTGACTGCGCTTCTGATGACATGTGCAGCATCTTCCAACGTTAATTGTGGTGGTACCTCCTCGACTGGAAGATATCGTATACGGCGTAGGATTCTTCGCTTAGCCCTGTCACTCTCGGGGTGCGCTATAAATTGCCGGTTGAAATAACACGCGCACCTCTGCCCATCTGTCACTTCTGCGCCTTTAAATGCGACAGATGTTCTATCATCTTTTTTTCCAGGGTTCGAGAGCTAACCGTTGCCCACAATTTACTCGACCCTGTACTGATGTTGCAATGTTTCAGATGTTCTAGCCATTTTTCTCTTATGCTCACCGACTAACCTGTTTACCTCCATTGTAAGTTCCCTGACTCTGGATTTATTAGGTTTAGTACGGCGCTGCCTCTGCTGGTTAATTTTGGTCTTATTTTAGGTATTCGACTAGCAGGTATATAGCCAGCGGCTACAGCTTTGATGATGTCCCGGAAACACCTATCTGTTGCCCGAACATCAGATGGGTTGGGCAGTTCTCTGAAGCGGCGATAGGTATATTTTTTGAATTCTTGCCAATTGGGTTTCCCATGGTAAGAAAAGTGCGGCGTTTAGAGTCTATGTAATCGGGTGGTCTGTTTATGGCGAAAATAATGGGGAGGTGGTCTGAGCCTAAAGAAATGACTGACAATTGTAACAATTATTGTTTGTTTTATCGATAGCCTTTTTGTTTGATAACTATTTAGCTATTATGTAAAAATTAGGCTAATTATAAACAAACTTCCAAAAGCTTTGAGGTTTTAAGTTCTAACAAATCTTCTACAGCACAAGGCAAGTCTAAAATTCGACGTAGCGTACACAAATATTTATCTTCTGCACTATGTGTTGTAAGTTCGTATTACCCAAATACTCCAGGTCAATATATTAAAACCAACTTACAACGTTGTAAAAATTGGAAATTTGTTATATTTTCCAATTGCCAATATTCACACTTTTTATACCCTACGCCATACTGTGGTACAGTCTCTCTGTGAAATAGAAATAGACTCATAGTTCCTTTTGAAGATCTTCATAGAATCACATACTGAGCAGAATTATGCATATCCGCCCGCGTCCCTGTATTTTTGTAAAAAAATGTACAGGTCACATTTATTGTCTGATTGTTTGTTAAGTCTGTTTTGTTTGTTAAGTCTATTCCTTACAGACTGAATTAGAAACTAAATTGCTATATACAATTGAGACAATTTTTGTTTTATACAATGGAAAAATGTAGAGGTTTAGAAACCAAACTCTGTTTAAGTGCAAAGTTAATTTACGTTTTAGAGACTCGCGACTCCCTGATAGTTCAGTTTAATTATAAAATTTGTTAAATTCAAGGAAAAGACGACGTAAAGGATCATTATTGCCATAGTTTGTAAAATAATAATTTATATTAAACAATTAATACTTTGGCGTTAGTCTGAATGGTACGTTTTGTGCAGTTTATCTAAAAAAAACACCTGACAATATCTTCCCATGAATAAATAATAAAAAAACATTTAGCATCGTACGGCGATTTTTCAATGTAGATAGCTTTATAAGCTTTAACCTATGTTTATATCTTGGCAATCTTTGTTGAGTTCATCCATGACCACGAAGTCAAAATAATAAAAATGATTTTGAACGGACTCTAATATATTAGAATGAATGATATATGCTGGATCCCATATTACAGACCCATAAAGCTGTTTACAAACTAAAAATTATTTACTCCACCCTTTTATAAAGCCCAAACTTTTATATGCTTTATTGACCCATTAACGCCGACGGGTGCGAAAACGCACCAAAAATAGAGGTGTTTTTCTTTTCTCTTTTTTGATATAGATAGTAAATGGATGGGTCTATTTATTTGACTTGGGCTGTTTTTTCATCAGACGTCACCTACATGATGATAAACGCATCGCCAAGTGCAGGTTTTCCCACATGCAAAAAATAACCCTATTATACAAAGAAAACAAATCGAAAAAAAATGTAAATATATATTGGTATGGATCGGTAGCCCTCTGCCCGTTATTTAACTCATAAAATTTTCAAAATTGTACATATAAACGTCTTGGTTAAATTGATTTGTGTGTGCTTTAATTGATTTGATTCGGACTGATATTACAATACTTATGAAATCGGACGACTCTATGTACACAGAGAAAAAAATTAACCTTATACAAGGTTAGCTTAACCATAAATAAACATGATTTGGAGTCTACGTTATGTAAGGTTAATTTAAACATTTTCTTGTTGACTGGTATTTAAAAATAATCATCGTTAATTTAGCTATTCCATGATTGACTTTTTTAACCACGAAAATTGTTGATATTGAAAAAAAATTGTTGTTTTAACAATGCACTGTTAAATTTTTGTAACCATGAGAATTGTTAATAATAACATTTCATAGTCAGTTTGTCTAAACAGTTCATATGATAATTTTAATAATAAATTAACCTTTGTTTGAATAAAACAAGAAAAATGTAATTTTTACAAGTTTATTTATTATTTATTTATTAATACCGCATATTTCTAAAATATGTATTTCCATTACAAAATGTATGTATATTTAAGGGAGGGCTGGTAAAGAAAGATATATGTTTAATATAAATTTTATTTTTTAACGCCTTACCGAGTGATTTTAAATTATATCCTCAGCCATTGTGAAAAAAAAAACTACAAAACGCCAAACACCGACTGCAAAAACAGAAGAAGAAACTAGTAGTTAATAAAAACAAATAGTATTGTCACAACTTACCAAAAATGTACGCACGAGTACCCAAAACAAAGACACCAGAGAAAAAAGAACTGAGAAGAAAAAACAAAAAGATATACATAAATATGAACACTGTCGCTTCAACAACAACAACGTACAACGTTATTTTTGTTTCTTTATTGTAATTTATAGTTTATTTGATAGACAAATCTGATACAATTTGAATATAGGAATAACACATTACTATGTTGAAATAGTATCAGGGTTTTCTATTAAAACAAATACAAATTACAATCAAATATATTTGTTAATTTCACCAGCTTTTACTTACCTTTATACCAAGCACTATTCCCACGAGCACGTGCACTACTCCCTTGCACTCTTCAACACCAACTAAAGTAGTGATTGTCTATTTGATCTTTCTTACACATATTCAGACCACAGAAAGAGATTCGATAAAGAGGAGGAGGGGGAATATGTCAGTCACATTCGTTGCAACTTCGTATATTGTAATATTGAACTTCGTCAAACACAAAGCAGTTCAAAATTGTTGACCACAACAGAGCCGAAGGCTCTTTAAATTTTTATGTATCTCTCACATTTTTCCGTCTCTCTCAAATAACAACAAACTTATACAACGTTAATTAAACTATTTTTCATCTACATTTGACCTTATATAACGTTATTTCGTGTTTGTAATCTCAAACATTTACCATGAAAAAATTAACCATGCACATGGTTAAAAAAGTCATTGTATTTTCGGCTCTGTGTATGGAAGCTATATTCAAATCTGATCCTGATCTGATTTTCAATTGGATGATTCTTTCTCTTTTTACAAGGTAATATATTTTCCTTGTATCAAATGACATTACCCTCTTAGTCATAAGACTGACGTTGCTGAAAAGCGAAAAAGAGCCATAAATAAAATTGGTTCTTCAGTATCGTGTTTTCGATCTTCTATGTTACTCTTCAGACTTAGCAACATCCGTATATTCGCACGTATATTCGAATCCTTATATTATAAATTTGTTAAATTAAGCTGTTTAACTACTATAAAAAGTATAGTATGATAATAAAGAAATAGAGTGTAAAAGGCACGTCAAACCCCATTAGCGTTGCTATATTCCCAAACAAATTCTCTCCAATATTTATAATTGCAACAAGTAAAAAGCAGTAAGTTCGGCCGGGCCGAACTTTGAATACTCCACCATTTGGAACGAATTAGGAAACTTTAACAAAAAAATAAAAATGCCGAATATCGGAAGGTACCGATATATGGAGCGATATACGATATTGTGTACCTATAAAGATAATTCTCTTTCAGAGGGTAAAGTACTCACAAGGAACTCCTTGTGTTGAATTTCAGACAATTCCATGTGGCTAAAATCATCAACATACCGAATAATGGCGGGTACCATTATATGGGGACTATACCAAAACGTGAACGGATATACATATATCATTTTCGATACCAACCATCCTAGACACAATACAAATTGTTCTGCTAAATTTTGACGCTCTACGTCAAATAATGGAGCTGTATCTTGATTTCAACTGACAGATGGACAGACGGACGGACATCGTTAAATCGACTTAGAATTTTGTGCTGATTATGAATATATATACTTTATGGGGTTTTCGACAAATATTTAGGGATGTTACAAAAGGAATGACAAAGTTAATATACCCTCCTTTCCAAAGTGGAGGGTATGATAACGTGCAACCTTGGAACACGTATTACTTCACTATTTTTTAATATTATCGTCTAATTTTTGAGTAATTTTATAAAAATTCCAACTTAATTCATGTATTTTCCTTTACAATGCTATTAATTTATTAAAACATTTTCTAGTACTAAAATTGTACTCAGTAACGCCGACGGGAGTGAAAAAGGCACTACCCCCTGCTCGAGCAAAGGGTAGAGATAGGGGGCTGAATTTTTGTGCGCGGAATATGAGTGACATTATGGCACCTCCACTAAGTTTCAACATTTTTCTCCCACTAATAAGGGAGCCGGCGTAAATGGGTTAATAGTCAGAGATTTTTTATTTATTTTCAATTAATACAGTTACCTAGCCCATATAGCCATAACCTTGGAACCGTGATTCCTATACTTGACTACTCTAAATATCGGTTCTTATTTAGTTATAGCTTCCGTATATATTTTCGTTTGCTTTTAATTTTATTGTGCGCCATGTGTGTAATATTCATTCAAATTGGGATAGATTTCTTCACATCCGATTAAATACAAAAGCAAGTACTTCAAATTTGGTGAAAACCGGTTCAGATATATGTGTCTAATCCGATTTCGTGTTTATGTTCCTAATATGCTCTCCATGACAATGATATTTAAAGCCAGATATGAGATACATAATTTTAACATAATTATAACTGTTCTAAAACCGTAATATGGATTCAAAAAAGGTTCATAATTGGTACGATCCACTTCACATTAATTCGCGCCTAAAAGTTTATTTGTAACAAGTAGCTCTACTAAATATGTCTAGTGGTGTACGGTATTATAAAGTCGGCACGCCCGAGTTTTGATCTTACTTTACTAGTTTTGTATTATTAATTTCTATTTTCAACACAGAGAACACATTTTTTTTTAAACTGTCAATGTTGGCAACCAACCTTTCCGCGGCATAGCTGTTTGTACTGACGGTTCAAAGATGATTCCAATAAAATTGGTCGCTATACCAAATAAGTCAAAAACATCTCTCAGGATTATAGCAGCATGTTATATCGCGTTATTTTTAAAAAGTTTTACAAGGTCAGACAATGTGACTGCACCCAGTGAACCAAACTGTCAGAGTTCGGTCCGAACTCGAACTGAAAGTCAGAAAAGATTCCGATTTCGGATGCAAATTCGGTCCGATCAAAAGTTATACTGAGTTGGTATTTTCTGACCGAAGGGTCAGATGAAACTGAAGTTTTAGTCGACTTTCGAACCGAAGTCGGACCTAAGACGCTTGAATATTTGTGGAAAATTCGGAAGGGAAATTTGACTTGTGGGACTGATTTCGGACCGAACTCGGAAGTAATATGGTGCGCATTACAGATTTTTTGCAAACTTTCTAATATTTTCGGCCCGTATTCGGAAAAAAGATGTACATATTAACAACAACAACAACAAATATCAATAACCGTTTGGAGCTGTTGCAACAGAGCTTGATGGACAACCCAGCGTTTTCTAAGCATCTCATGCAGTCCAAAACAACCTTAGACTTGATAGGAGTTGAGGGCTTTCAGTGCCGCTTGACTATCGACGTATGTAGTCACCGGGCTTCTAACCTCGTTCTTTCTCGTTTCCAACAGGGGTGTGGCTTTTTTGACTACGCACAATCATTTTTAAGCTTTTGGGATTCGCTAACATTAAGAGTGTCACAGACATCTTTGAACCGTTCGTATTGACAGGTGTCCCTATCAATTGTGTGGATGTCAGGTGGGTCAAAGCGCAACCGCGGTAAGATATAATCACTAGTGTTGCTTAAGTTGCCTGTTCCTCTACGTGTATGTTTAGTGGGCTTAAGCACAGTAGGGTGCAGCTTGAGGTGTGCTCTTGAATGCACCCGTTATTAGTAGGGATGCGGCTCGTTGAACTTTGTCAATGTGACATAGGTATTATTGCGCCGAAATTGCGCTCCGATAAAGGGGAGAGAAAAATAGAAATAAAACACGATCGTTTTAGTTTCTTGAAAGTTAAATATGTGAATTCTTTATTGATATTCAAATCAATAGGTAACCAAATTTACCTTAGTAGTTACACACGAACGTGTAACGTTTACAGTGTTGAGCACGAACACTCAACCGATAGCAAGCAGGAATCACCAAGACAGACTAAAGTGGTAGCTTTAGCACCAATTCGTTGGAATCTGACATTGACATATCAATGTTGCAATAAGAAGTGGTGAACAGCTTTCAACGAATGTACAATACGATAAGTGTTGCAACAAACTGCACCACGATTCCATTTCAAATAAATGGAGACAATTCTTATTTAAACAATAGGTAAGATGATTTCCCCAAGGTGATAAAACACCGTCTTGCGGTGTGCCCCTGGTGACCGATGGAAATTTCCCCAATGCTTGAGTTGATAATTCTGCTACTAAGCATTGTATCAATCCATTTTCATGTACCTTTCATGTAGGCATGTTGAGCAGTGCTGATGATAGTCGTGGGTAGTAGAGATCTGATTTCTATGTCTATCAGCCTTTCAAATGTTTTCAACAGGAAAGGTGATAGAATGATTGGTCTGTAGTCCTTAGGAAGTAAGTGACTTGGTTTCCCAACTTTTGGGATGTAAGTAACTTCCCTCCATAGTACCGGGATGTGGGATAGGCACAGACAAGCTTTGAAAATCTCACCCAGAATTGGAGATATCCACGCCGAGACATGTTGAATCATGGCGGGAATAATGCCGTCTAGCCCTGGTGATTTAAAAAGGATGAATGCGTCTATGTCCCACCAAATTTTGAATGTGCTGTCGATTAGATTTATGTCCCCAGCCGAATAGTTACGATACGCTTGATCGGTTTGCCGAATAATTACCACGTCAATACAGTTTGTACTGACTAACATATTAAGAGTCTATTGCTGTAGATATAGGGTCCCTGCACCAGGGCTATGTCTACTTCAGCTTTCGTGAGGGATAGGAGACTTCGGCAGCAGCTGCTGTGCAGTGATGTATATTAATCTGCTTGATGCTAAGTGGCTGCTGTTTTCTTTCTCCTAATGCAGCGGCGCCAGCCGGAAACGCATCCAACCGGTTCTGAAATGCGAGGTTTAAGATAGTCCTAGCCATCCGTATCAATAGATACCTTGAGAACCAGGCCACCACCTCAGTGCTTGAACTAACGATACGTCAGTGGTCTGTTCTGAGGTTGGGGTCTTGTTTGCCGAGTATCGTCAGAATGCGTGCCGCATCCATCTATGGTGGTGGCACCCACGCCGTCAATACTTTACTGCAAGGGATCTTCTTCAAGGATACAGCCGCCAAGTTGCACCCTTCCCAAAGCTCGTGAAAGCCATCTACTGTGGTAACCAGAAATTCTTTAGATTCCTCGTTTTCACAGCAGATGACGTTCACGCCCTTGTAAAGGGTAGCGCTGCCAAACCGCAACCTTTTTGGATCTCTTTCACCCAGACGACCTTCGATTAGCAGCCATTGACTCTCGCTGATTTGAGGCTGCGGTCATCGTAGGCTCTGACTTCCTTGCCTTACGTCTCCTGTGCTTCTTGGCAGGAGGGCTTGATTCAGCGGGGACAGCATCCACCTCCACCGTAGGAACGGCTACCGCAGTAGTCGTATTGTCGGTGATTTGCTTTCGCATCTTTCGGGTCGGCGCCTTCGCGAGTGGTAGGGTTACTGCCAGCGCCTATGTCGATGGCGTCTTGCCGATGGAGGCTTGGAAACGACCGAC